AGAGAAGCCAACTAAAAAGTCTGGAATGGCTGACTCTCTGCACTGACCTACTTTCTGTGATTAAAAAAAACAAACAAACAAATAGTAAATGAGCACCCTGACGGAATCACAGTCAGGCGCAGTGATGACGAGCGGCTCTACTGATGAAGTTAAAACTGCACTTCTCAGCCGCCGTCAGAAGGCTTGCTTTCTTGTAAGGGACAGAGCTGGGAGCAACCAGAACCAAGAGGCCACCAAGAAAGCAGAGAGCCAGTCATAAAGGAAGTCAGAACAGACAGGGCAAGGTAGTCAGGCACTCCTAACAGTCATGGAAGGCCTCTGCCACTGGGTATTGGTTGTAGGAGGAACAGTTACAGTGGCTGCTGAGGAGCCATCGCCTCTTAACCGAACCCACTCCCTCCTGGAGGGGACAGAGAAGCTGCTGCAACCTTGCAGGCTCAAGAAGTTACAGGATTCATAAGGCTACACAAGCAGTAAGCAACTGCAGGAGGCAGGTGAGACCTTCAGGGGACTCTGCTCCCAAGCTGGGGAGAGACTTCCAGTCGGGAGTGGGCCTTTCAATGACACAGCTACCTCTGAGGCATCCAAGATCCTGCAAGTAGCCCCCATGGGCTCCTTAAGTAGCCCCCATAAATTCAGTGTTCACTTGTGGGAGTCATTCTTGGCTCTGCTGTCAGAGCCTCATCGGGGGTGAATAGATGTTCGCTCATGTCTCCCCAGGAAAAGGTCACACGTATGAATACCTTCACCATTTTCACATGGGAAGTTACAGTGTAAACTTTACACCTCCCAAATGCAATTCAAGATGCGTTTTCATGGATGCAAAGCTATGCATCCATGGATGCAAAACGCAAAGGAAGACATTTGCAATCTGGAAAAATGGTTCTTTCACATGACACCAGAAGCAGAAGGCTTGAGGAGGAAGGCAGATGAACTCAGCTTCATTTCTCTGCTAAAACCTTAATAAGGGGATGAAAAGGCAGGCCGCCAAAGGCTGCAAAAATTCTAACAAATCATACATCTGGCAAAAAGCTGTATCTATAATATATAAGGAATGCCCCAAATCAGCGAGAAACAATCCAATGAGAAAACGGGCAGAAGCCCAGAGGTGTAGAATAGGAAAGAAATCTGAGGCTCAGTGTCACCCTCTGATGTCACTGAACACCCACTAGAGCATTAATGTGACCATACAGGACTCCCACGGGGATGCACACAAACTAAGTCACTGACAACCAAGGGAAAGCACTTGCAGGAAAATCGTGTGGCGGCTATGGAATTACCAAGAACACAGCAGTCAAGCTCTTGGACATTTCTTCCACACCAAGCTTTACTACAATGTCCATAGCAGTTTTACCTGTAATGTGAAAACTAGGACCAGCCCAAAATGGCCATCAAGTGTGAATAAACAGTTAAGCAAAGCATGATACGTTGTACCAGGATATACCAGCCAGCAACACGGCAGCATGGTGCTGGCACAGGGAGGACCTAGGTCAATCTCCAGGAAGCCACACTGAGTGGGAAAAGATGGTCCCATGGGCTCCAAATAATATTGTTCTATGTCTAGAGATCACTGGGTAAAAGGGAGTTTCTGGCTCTTACAGGTTTTACAGGGAGACAGAACTAGTTAGAAATAAAGTTGTAATTTCAAGGTTGTCTTAAGTTTTCTCAAAGCTGCAAGAGGGAGGGAGAGGACAAACCATACCACCTTTATCATCTCTCTATCCGTGTGTGTGTGTGTGTGTGTGTGTGTGTGTGTGTGTTGTCTTATTTAGGATTTCCATTGCTGTGAAGAGACACCATGACCACAGCAACTCTTATAAAGGACACAATTAATTGGGCCAACTCGCTTACAGTTTCAGAGGTTCAGTCCATTGTCATCATGGCAAGGGAGCATGGTGACATGCAGGCAGACATGGTGCTGGAGGAGTAGCTGAGAGTCCTACATCTTGCCAGCAATAGGAAGTTGACTGTTACACTGGGTGGTGACCTGAGCATAAGAAACCTCAAAGGCAGCCCCACAGCGACCTGCTTCCGCCAACAAGGCCATACCTACTCCAGCACCTATGAGATTATGACAGTCAATTACATTCAAACTGCCACATATACATACAGAGAGAGAGAGATGGAGAGGCAGACAGACAGACAGAGAATGTTTTAAATGCATGCTTGTCCTCTATACTGAGCTCTTTCTGAGGGAACTGCAGTCCCTGAATGTGCATTAACCAAGCCTAACTTAGTTGAGCACAGACTCTGTGCTGGGCCTTTACTTGCCTGGCTGCTGTATGAGATGCAGCCTGTCTGCTGCTCCTATCTGTCTACCATCTTGGAGCCCGATTAACCCAGCCTTTCCCATAGGCCTCCAGCTACAGGTCCTTAAAAGGGAAGGGACTGGAAGGACACTCTCCTTACAAGTCTAAGTTGACCAGGAGGACAGTCAGTCACAAGGAAAAGCCGGACTCATCAGAAAAAGCCAGCCAGCATTCCATCTTGTATTAGGGGTTCTGTTGCTGTGATAAAAGACCATGACAAAAAACAACCGGGGAACAGCTTCTAGTCAGAGCAGGAACTCGAGGCAAGAACCTAGAGGCAGGAACTGCCGCAGACGCCAGGGAAGGGTGCTGCTTACTGGCTTGCTCAGCCTGCTTCCCTTCTTCCTTCTCCTCCCTCCTCACCCCCTTCCTCCCCTCCCCCTCCTTTCTCATCTTCCTTTTTTTCTTTTTGTTGTTTTGTTGTTCAAGACAGTGTTTCTCTGTGTAGCCTTGGCTGTGTTAGATAGAACTTGCTATGTAGACCATGCTGGCCTCAAACTCACAGAGATCCTCTGTTTCTCAAGTGCTGGAGTTGAAGGCATGTATCACCACTGCCTGGCTTTAGTCTGCTTTCTTAAAGCACCCAGGACTACCAGCAAAGGGGCTAGCGGGGCCAACCACCGTGAGCTGGACCCTCCCACATCAATCACGCATCAAGAAAATGCACCACAGGTTTGCCCACAAGCCAATCCGTGGGGGCATTCTCTCAAGTGAAGTTCCCTCTTCCAAACAGCTCTAACTTGTGCCAGGTTAACCTAAAACTAGCTGGCACACCTCTGTTCTGAAAACAGGCTGGCCACATGGACTTGGCTCGCTCCACAGCAGCCAACTGGATGACATCTAATCCAAACATAATGTCAGAGCACACAGACTGAGGGCTCAGCTCCTAAACTGTCCTCTGTCGGGTGCCAACCCTACAGCAATAACCAGTGCTGTGACATTCTAGCTTGAGTTGAACAGCTCATCACCGAAGGTGTTTTATAAGATTCGATCATGAGCGTGAGGCAAAGAAAAAGACTCAGAGATGGTTGGGAGAGGCAATAGAACTCCTGTGCCCTATCTGGACGCTGGCCCCAACAGGCCCTAGTAATGGCAGCTCTCCAGAAGTTAGCAACACTGCTATCAATTCAGACTCCAGCCCCTCTGGATGCTCTGCACTGAAGTAGGAAGCCCTGTCTCCATCATTATTTCTTGTGACCATTCCCCAATTCTGGAGCAATCTAGGGCCTTCAAAATAGCACACCACTGTGATGATGGCAAGGGTTTTGAGAATTCATAAAAGAACAAATCTGAAATACTCTGAATTCAATTCCAAATGCTAAAGGAGAGAGAAGGGAATGTCCCATTAGGTTTTGTCAACTTGTCACAACCTGAGGAAAATGGTCTAGTTGAGGTTAGCCTTGTAGGCATGTCTGGAGGGAGGGGACTGTCTTGACTGTTGAGGTAGGAAGATATGTCCATTGTGAGCAACACCATCCCCTGGCCTGGGGTTATGAATAGTACAAGATTAGAAAAAGCTAGCTGAGAACAAGCCATCAGCCAGCAAGGACCCACACGTGTCTCTCCACTCTGGTCTATGCATATGATGTGACGAGTCGCTTGAGTTCCCGCCTGACCCTCCCTTGATGATGGACTGTGACCTGGACGTATAAGTCAAGCAAACACTTTTCTCCTCTGAGGTTCTTTTGGTCAGGATGTTTTTATCACAGCAACAGAAACGAAAACAGAACATCTTCATTAACAGCTAAAGAGCTGATCCAAATAAGGAACTGCTCCCTATTCCTGAATGTGTGTTGAAGCCTTAAAGCCCAGGCAGCCACCAGCCACCAGATGCCATTGCACCCTGTTTATGAAGACCTTCCCAGACAAGCCTTCCAGACACAAGCACTTCTAGGGGCTGTGCTTCTATCCGAAAATGTTCCCGACTGCACACTCTGCTCCTTCTGATCTACAGCCAATGTAGATTTAATGTCACTTTGTTTTCCTTCCCTAGGTTTTAATATAAAAATGGCCTTAGCCATTTCACATCCATAAGACATCCCCCCCCCCAATACACACCTAGCCTGCTTTGTCTCTAGGAATAGTCGCACTGTTCCCAGGGCTTGGTCCTCACAAGGCTGGCAGCTGTAGTGCCCAATCAACCCCCTTTTTCTAAAGAAGGAAAAATAGATGACATTCTTTAGCACACTGTGCTCAAGGGATGGAAGGCTGGATGCGGAGCAGAACCTCTGACCATGCTGTGCGCATCGCAACACTCCAGCTCTAAGCAAACAGTGCTCCCTTTGAGGCTGTCAATGAGCCTCCCCTCCAAAGGTGCCCGCCTGGCTGAGTAGCCACCACTTCCACCATCACTTCATAAGCACAGAGAGGAATTGACACCTTATTCAGGTCTGGTGAGTGGGAGCAAAGCCCTTTGAACCCATCACAGTTTCTACCAACTAGTGAGTGACCAACCTCTGGCCTGTGCTGAAGGCTCTAACACAGACTAATCTCACCTCCAAAACAATGACCCTTGGCCCCTCCAGACCTCTGACTTGATTGCCCCAGGATAGAGTCCCCCATACAGCTGACTCGAACTTTTTTCATTCCCAAGGCCTTTTGCCCAAGAAATTTAAATTTGTATGTGGCCTACAGATACACTTATATATGCAGAGTATATGTTTGCTGATAATGAATCATTACAAAAAAGTCACTTTAAAACAATTGCTTGGACATATAAATTTCAGCCTATCTAGCCACAGGTTTTTGTCCCTTTAACAGTGCCAAGCATGGGTTCCATCTCATATATATATATATATCAAGCCCTGGATTCAATCAGAAAGTGGCTGGTTACTTGAATAGCATCCATCCGACTATTCCACCTGTGGGCATGTATCTTGTCAGGTTAGTCATTGTAACAGGGTTCGTAGGTAGGTGAAATGTAAGGTCACTTTTCTCCTCCAGTGGCACACAGAGCACCTCCTAGGACCAGGAGAGCTAGCCAGGAAGGACGAAGGTCCCAGCAGAGCACCAGCTTGGTTCTTCCATTTTCTATGACTCAAGGATGTGGCATCTTCACAGTAGAGTCTGAAAGTCAAATTCGGGGTGGAATATCAGGAGTGTGAGCAATGGCTGGGGGTCTTCAGGGCCCCTCTGTTAAGTGTTTTTGCAATCCCTGAGCTTAGCCATGTGACCAGACTGTGTGGCTATGCCCACAATTTAAGAAGTGGGAGTCTCGAGGAAGGGCTCTGACAGCTGTCAAACTACCTGAGCAACTCGCTACTTTCATTCCTTCTCTGTTCTAAATTAATTTGATTCTGAACATTTCGGGACAAAGTTGTGTTGTATCCTATGGCACCTGGCATCCATGAACTCTGTCCACTGAGCTATATATACAGCATCCTTCACATGGCTGCATCTTGCTCATAGTCACAAATTCTCAAGGAAGGTGAACCTGTGCTGTCCCCTTCCCAAGATGACTTGAAGTCTATGGCCCCATTTCCTCTTCACCTTTCTTTGTTTCTTTCTACCATTCCCCATCTAGGGAGTGGGGGGTACTGAGCAAGCAGTATTTAGACCCTGGAAGGTAGAGATGGAAGAAGTCAGGGTTCCTCTCTCCTGACCTGGGGAGGAAGGCTAGGTAGCCGAGGATGCAGCCAGGGAGGCAGGCATGGCCCAGTGAGTCTTGCTGATTCTCCTGCACCATTCCTGCAAAGTAAGAATGATGGAAATCACAATCCAGGTGACATCACCAGAGGCAAGTCGGTAGGAGGGAGGTGGCAGCTACACACATCCAGGACACAAGGGTGACACAGAGGGCTCTGCTGAGAGCTGATGGAAAAAAGAAATCTCCATTGAGAAGAAAATCCAGACAACAGAAGACACACAAGGCAATTACCTAACAACCAAAAGGAGGGGGAGGTGATCAGAAATGCTCTCCACCCCTTTAGAGCATCTTAGCTGCTAGCTCCCTAAGTGAAAATAAAAGCCCTTGAGAGGCAGTGATTTGCTTCGAAAAACATCCATTTAAAGTCTTGAGATTATTGACACTGTCATTAGACCTTGGCAGTGGCCTCCTGTGTGTTTGCATGAGAAAAGGCTCCTGGTTTAGAAGGAAAAATAAGAGTCCAAGAGTAATGTGTGTTCAAAGCACAAGCCTAAGATGAGAAGCTGATGGTTCACGAATAAGGATGCTCTCCCGTCTTTCTATCTGTAGCCATCCATTTCAGGGCCTGAATGCTCTCATATTCCTCCATTCCCTGTCCTTTACTTTCTTCATTCTCCCCCCTTCCCCTCCTTCAGCTGGGCAGCCTTCCAGATGATTCATAGTATATTCTAGCTATATTCAGCACAAAAGCCATCCAAGCATTGGAGGATCAAAGTTACATCAACTAACAGGCACTGGGGGATTGACAAGCAGCTAAAATTAGGACACTGCATAGCAGCGGCCTTTGACTGACGGAGTGAAATTTAGCCTCTGATTCACTATTTAAAGATTGGTGACAGCACCCTTTTCTGTGGCCACAGTGAGTACACAACCAAGTATGCAGGTCTGATTAAGTGTTAAATCATCTCTGGCCCACTGCTGGCTGTGGCAGATGGACAGACTGCTAAGAAGTCGGGCCTCCATTCCCACACCCAGAGTCTCTCCAGGCCCACTGCTCCCTCCAGGCGCATTCCATAAAGCTATTTTAATCACTTTTACAAGCATTCCTGCCATCAAACAGTTCAGCCTCCAAATCCTGACCCAGTTCAAGGGTTTCCAAATTCATCATTGACTTAATTAAAACAAACAGCTCCTAACTGCCAAACCAATTCGTCAAGTGTCCTACTGGCCTCTTTTCTTTTTCTGGGTCCTTAGGTTTAGATGCACTCTTCCTCATGCATGGCAGGTGTCCATACAATGCCAGATGTCCTTCACAAGCATGGCAGGTGTCCTCCTCACAATGCCAGGTGTCCTCACGCATGGCAGGTGTCTTCCTCACAATGCCAGGTATCCTCATGCATGCCAGGTGTCCTCTTCGCTCATGGCAGGTGTCTTCACAAGCATGGCAGGTGTTCTCCTCACACATGGCAGGTGTCTTTCTCCTTAGATGTACCTTTTCTTTGTGACCATTGTCACCTCCAAAACAGTGTCACACTGGCCCCTGGATGCCCACAGTGGGAGCCCAAGATGAACACCATGCCTCTGAGAGCCAAACAGCCTTGACAGGCCACTATACCTTGTGCAGAGAACGCTTTCAGGAAGTTCCTCAGCAGCTGCCATGTGAGCACTGGACTGACCCCACCCTTGTTATCAATCCTCAGGCCCAAGTACAATTATTTCAAAACAGCTTGCATAATCTTCCTCCCACAATTTTCCTCTGAAATTCTGGCCCACCTCTGCCTCAATCATGGCAGTGTGGCACCCTAGCATACATTCCAGACACCCATATGCTACAGCTCTGTTGTTCCTTATGTGGCCTGTTTCTTGATGGGTTCATTTGGTTCGGGGTGGTTGCAGCTCAGGCTCTGGCCTGTAAGGCCAGCATTAACCAATTCCCATTTCATTGTCTCCGCAACTTCAAGAAGTCCTGAAGGCTCAGTTTGAGCTGCCCAGACAGAGGCAAGAGGAGAGAGTACAAACAGGGTGTCAAGGCTCCCCCATGGCCATCTGCACTGAAGGTCCTGAGGCAAGACCTGAGAACCTGCACCCCCAGAAAAGAGGAGGAGGAGGAATGGAGGAGGAATGGAGGAGGAGGAGGAGGAGCAGGGAGGAGGAGGAGAAGGAAGAGGAGGAGGAGGAAGAAGAGGAAAAGGAGGAGGAGGAGGAGCAGGGAGGAGGAGGAGGAGGAGGAGGAGGAGGAGGAGGAGGAGGAGAAGAAGAAGAAGAAGAAGAAGAAGAAGAAGAAGAAGAAGAAGAAGAAGAAGAAGAAGAAGAAGAAGAAGAAGAAGAAGAAGAAGAAGAAGAAAATGAAACTGGGGAAAGATCTAGCCCATTCAAGGGCATCATGGTAGCACATCATGGCAGTGCACCCTACACAAGACACAAAGAAGGCCTTAATGGGTAAAGAAAGAGATGGGAAAAGCTAGGCATGAGCTGGGGTCAAGGAGACCTTGGGATGAAAGCCAACTGCTGGAGCTGCCCCTGGTTCTAAGAAAGGGGTTGTATTAAGAGTTTCTATTGCTGTGATGAAACACCACGACCAAAAGCAACTTGGGGAAAAAAGGTTTCCTTCAGCCTACACTTCCACATCACAGTACTATCATCAAAAGAAGTCAGGACAGGAACTCAAGCAGGGCAGGAACCTGGAGGCAGGAGCTGTTGCAGAGGCCATGGCGGAGAGCTGCTTTCTTATAGAACCCAGGATCACCAGCTCAGGGTGGTACCCCCCACAACGGTGTAAACCCTCCCACATCAATAACTAATTAAGGAAATACCCCACAGGCTTGTCTACAGCCTGATCTTACAGAGGCATTTTCTTAGTTAGACTCCCTCCTCTTAGATGACTTTAGCGTGCGTCAAGTTGACATGTTCTTGGTAATTACATAGCTGCAGCTGGCTCTGTGTCTCTGCATTCAACTGACCTCAAGCTGAAAACACTCAGAGAAAACTTTGCCACTGGATGGTCTTTACAGAGACATTTCCCTTGTCATTATTCAGACAACACCATGATAAATCCATGGTGTATGCCCTGCTCATAAATGTTCCTTAAAGATGTCTAAAGTGTCGAAGGATGCACAGGCTATGTTTAAAAACAATGGAAGTTTTTGCAGATTTTCAAATTAATTCAATGTGTGGTACCTGGGGACATACGTGTGATGTGACAGGGTGATGAGCATTTGTATCTTTAAGCATTTTTCACAAACACTGACAACTGTACTTTGGGAGCTCAGGGTGAGGTTTAAGATGAATATACACTGCACACACTTCCTACCAGTCACTGACGTGTCCATCTCCTCACTGCCTTCATGGCTTCTAAGCTCTCTTCTCCAAGTCATTCAGAAATTATACTATGTATCAGTCATTTTACAAAAGGCCTCTTGCAGCCACCCTCACAGTGAGCACTTGAGATGTGATCTAGACACACCACTCCACACACACTTAGTCTGTACCTGCCTGCCTCCTGCACAGTCCACCCAGTTTCCATGTTCATCCCTTCAATTTGGCTCTGGCTGCCTCTTGGTGCTTGCCCTGCAGGGGCAGTGTCTGAGTGACAAGCCATGGGTCTGCTTGTGTTTTCTTTCTCCTTATAAGCTGGCCTTCTTATCTCCGTGTCTTCCAGGCCTTTCCTTTGCAAGTGCTGTTCCCTGCAGCCATGCATTTCTTGTCAGAATTTCACAGAAACAAGCGCTTGCTTGACTTTCTGTAGCCTCGGGCTCAACCTTGTATATATTCTCTACCTGCCTTTTACTGCCCCCCCCCCCACACACACACATCTTCTGCTGGCAATTTCCTGATTATTTACAGTCTGCATCTCAGGCATCACTTTATGGTAACAGAACTGCAGGGGAGGCATTTTGCCAGGAAGGGGCAGACTAGCTGCACAACAACTCTGTTTGTCCAGTGCTTCACTCTGGGGTCTGTCTCTGCTTGGAGGTGCTAGGATTTTCGAGCCACAGCACAGCCAGATGGGCTAATAGTTGTTGAGGAGACATCATTAGGGCTGTGTGTGTATCCACAGTGCCTTCCACTGCCCCAAGCCTGGCTCCCATCTGGGGCACCTTCTTCAATCTGGTCCTGGGAGGTGTGCCTGAGCTCCAGCTGTAGCAAGAGGCCACTACTGCCGGCCTCCGAGAGTCTGCCCCTGGCTTTGGAGGCTCCTCTTGCAGCTGCATCCGTGGCGGGTAGCTGTACCTCTCATCATGGAAGGTTGAGTCCTCGCCACTACATTACTGCTCTTGCTTTGATGTGTATTTGTTTGTCCCTTCATTGAGACACCGGGATCTATCCCTTGTTTTCCAGGTCACCCAGTTGTCAGTGTTGTTATTTTTACATGTATTTCATTGAAATGTAGTACGATACAGGAAAGCACACACATCTCGCCACATAGTCTGACAGATTTTGGCAAACAGAATATGTTCATGAAACCCGCATGTTGACTGAGACACAGAACCTTGCCAGCAGCCCCGAGAGGCCCCTCCATCTGTTCCAGCAGGAGCCCTTTAGATGTACGATGTTTCGTACATTCCTGCGTGGTGGCATATGTACTTCCTGTCAAATAATGGAGGGATCCAGTGCCACCTGAAGTCAGTGCATTCACGAAGAATGGGTGTGCTTCAAGGCACAGCAGCAAGTCCATGGCGGGAGGAATCGATCACATTTCCCACTGCTGTCACAAAATGCCTGGCAGACACAGCCTAAGCAAGGGTGGCTTGAGTAACAGTCCATCACAGAGTGAGAAAGCGGCAGCCATGAGCTTGAGAGAGCTGGTCACTGTGGCTTCCACAGTGGGGAAGGAGGGAGCAACCAATGATGAAGCTGGCTTCCCTTCTAATTCAGTCCAGGACCACAGCCCATGGGATGGCTTCACCCACATTCTAAGAAGGGCTTCTCAGTTAAACGTCCCTAGAAACTTCCTCAAACAAATGCCCAGAGCTGTGTCTCCTAGGGATGTCCAAACAGGGTCAGTGGAGATTACTCATAATAGAGTTTAGGAAAGCTACAGAGAAGGCATGCGGCCCAAACAGATCTGGGAGCTTGCTCCATCATCCAAAGCATCCACTGCAATGGAACAGATCACAGCTATGACTTCCTAATACAACACAGAACACTCCATATGTAAAATGGGCTCCTATAATCAGGTCCTGGGCTTTTCCCCCACCCAGCCCGTGAGCATCGAGCCAAATAGATAACATAGTACATTAAGTTTCATCAGCGGCGTTAAAGTCAAATGGAACCAAGGCCTCAGCCTGACAATACTCTCCCCTTCAGAATGCCCACTGCTTGATGATGCCCCCAAAGGCCCGTGGGAAGGCTTGGTTGACAACCTACAGCATGACTAGGAGGTGGCGAGACTTTCAAGAGGCAGAACCTAGTTGAAGCAAGTTGGGTTATTGGGGTCATGTCCATCCTCAGTAAAGGACCTTTCCCCCACCCCTCCCTGCTCCTTGGCTGCTATGAAATGAGCAATCTCCTCTGTCACTTGTTTCCTCTGTATCCTCAAAACCTCAGCCCCAACATCATGGATTGAAATCTCTGGGGCCATGAGCCAAATAAACCTTCCCTCTTCATAAGTTGACTTTCTTGATTCGTTATTACAATGATAGGAAAGTAAGGAACACATCTACTAACAACAATAAAACTCCTGAACGAATAAGAGCTAACTGTGTTAAGAGTGTAGAAAAAAATCTACCTTAGAGACTGATGAAAGCAGTTCTCAGCAGCAGGGAAGGCACTCGGGGTGGGGCAGGCCAGGGGACAGAGCACAGGCTGTGTCATCTTATAACCTCTTAAGCATTTGCTGTCTGCACACACATTGCTTATCTGCAGAAAATTGAGATTCAAACTAAGTGGCTAGGGATAATGTATGGGTGGATGGTGGAGGGGCAGAAGGACAAATGGCTGACTGAATGCATGGGTCTCCGTCCGTCCGTCCGTCCGTCCGTCCGTCCGTCCGTCCGTCCGTCCGTCCGTCCATCCATCCATCCAGATACACATTCACCCACCTGTCCATCTGCCCACTGTAGAGTCTACCTGTACAGTTCTTTGTGCAGGTTTGAAGGTCAGGTGAGATACAGGAGAGAACAGGCATGGCTGTACCGCTCAGCTTGGCTATACTGCTCAGTGTAGCTGTGTTGCTCAGCGTGGCTGAGACGGTGTAAGATCCAGTCAGCACTTCTAGCTCCCGAAACATGACATAGTACCTTGTACCGGGAAACTTCCAGACTCTCCCAGTCCTTCTGGACAGATGGCTGTGACCATGTTATCCTGCTATGACACGAGATCAGAATTAACACCTCCTCTGGCTGCATCCAGATGCCCTAAAAATCTAACTTCCTTCCACCCTCCCCACTAAAATTATGCAAGAAACTGCAGGTCATTATTCTAAGAGAAATAAGCCAGACCCAAAAGGACAAGGAACAGTGATCACTTTACTTGTGATGAAAATCCAAGCCCACACCTTCACTTCCCCAAACCCCCAGGGAACTTAGGGGCTATCTCTCAAAATTATCTTCCTTCCAGCTATTTGGGGCTGCTACAGGGGAAGTCACAGTAAGGTGTGATTTTGAAAGAGCTCCAAGGAAAGAAGGCAAAGAGAGGGAGAAAGGCAGGGTATCCTGGGAGGTGAGGTGGAAGGAACATCTGTGTGGAGTCCTATCTAAAGGGTGGCCAGCCAGAGGACTGCAAATTATCCTGGCCTTGGCACCTTCTCAGTGGCATGCCCTGCAGCCTAATGGGAGGAGGCATCGCAAGAATGGGGGGTGGGGCATAAACAGGATGCTGCAAGTCAAATGCAGATAACATGACTCTGGTGATGAGGGGAGAGACCTTCTTATGAGGAACTCTGGGGCAAGGCAGGGTTTGTGAGGATGGGAAAGACTGAAACACATTCAGTTCTGACTGAAAAAAAACAGAGAGAGGGAGGGGAGGAGAGAGGGAAGGAGAGGGGGAGAGAGGGGAGGAGAGAGGGAAGGAGGGAGGGGAGAGGAAAAGAAGGGGAGGAGAGAGGGAAGAGGGAAGGAGAGGGGGAAGGAGGGGAGGGGGAGAGTGAGAGAGGGAGGGAAGAGGAGAGAGGGAAAGAGGGAGGGGAGAGGAGAGAGGGAAAGAGGGAGGGGAGAGGAGAGAGGGAAGGAGGGAGGGAGGGGAGAGGCCATGTCCACAAGAGACAAAATAATTTATGGTATGAAGTGGGGGGGGGCAAAGCTGGGGCCCAGAAGCCAGGAAAGATGAGAATAATAAGGCAAGCAGAGACGAGCATCTAAAAAGGCTCACAAAGAGTGGACTCTCTGCGCAGACACACATTTACTCACCCCAAAAAGACAAGGCAATGACAAACGTAAGGAAACCATGGCCCTCAGGTACAGCTTGATGAGCCAATGGGCTTAACTTGAGCTTCTTACAGAAACAGGAATGCAGGCAGCTTGTGGGCAGCTGCATCATTGAAGCAAGGTCTCTCTCCCAGCAACTGTTAACTGTAGGACATTCTAAGGGGTGGGGCTACTGGAGCCCCTCCCCTAGTAACTGTTAACTGTCTATACATCCTTGGGGAGGAGGAAAGGCCCCATGAGCCCTCACTCCTCGACACAGCTGGACATTAATCTCTGCACATAATCAACAGCTGTTTAAGGTCAACACTGTCCCCAGAAGACTACTTTTGGCTTTCCAGCCATCAGAACTGAGCCAATTAAGTCCTGTTTGTTACAGGACTTGGGCACATACAAGACTCGGAAGACTTTGTTATCTGATGCACACACAGACATACAACATTCAAATATTAATGTTACCATGAACAGACACTCTGTAAGAGTGCATTTACCACTACTTATGTTTGGAATTACAGCCGTAGCTAGTTGAGCCACACAATGAGCTGCGGTCTGGTGGGCAACTAGCCTTTCCCATGGAGGAATGATTCAGATGGAGACATGAGTCAGGGAAAGCCATGACTGACCCTTCCAGAGATGCTTGTTATCAATCTACTGGGCCAGGCAGTCAAATGAAGGTGCAAGACACTAAGGGCCTCATCACTTACAGGAGGCCAAGACTGGCTCTACAGTTTCATCAGCTCCACTGTGTGCTTGTTTTAACCATGGAGTCTACCTCCTCTCAGGAAAAAAAAAAAAAAAAAAACACAGAAGTCACTCATTCACTCACTCGTTGGCTTTCCTTGTAAATGTTGAACACAGGAAGATGTAATCTCTTCACAGGACGTTTTAACAGTGTGTTCATGAGCATCCTTGCAAGACAAAGTGAGTAAAAGGCCACTGTGCCTGAGCACTGAAGGAGAAAACTCAGGATCCTCCTGCCTCCTTTCCCTCGCCTAAGTTCAGAGGCAACACCCCCAGTCTCTTAACGGGAGTCAAGAGACCAGTGCATGAAGTCGACAGACAGGATCTGATCCGGTACAGGTCATTGTTCCCACTGCCATAAGAGAGGTCCACACAGCTAAGCAGTTAAACATCACTGTATAACTAATAGCATCTCAGTACTATCAAGTCTGTATAGTACTAGACTTTGGGGTACCAAGTCTCTACAGTACCAGGCTTGGGCACAAGGCTGTGGGGTACCAAGCATGGGGGTCAGGGAATAAAGATGTGGGGTAAGAGTTCTGGTGTACCAGGCTCTGGGGTATGATGGTCTATAGTACCAAGGTCATGGCAAACAGACTCTGGGATAGCAGGATATATTGAGCAACTTCTTAGAGTATCAGGTTCGGTTCCTCACTTTGGAATATAAGGTTCCAAGATAGTAGGCTCGGGATTGCAGGCTGTAGTGCCTGGCTCTGGGGTCTGAGCCTAAGGAGTACCAGGCTCCGCCATATCAGGTTTTGAAGTCTGGGGTTTTGCAATATCAGGCTTTGCCCTCAGGTTTTGTGGCACTGGGTTGTGGGGTCTGAGGGTCTAGGCACCCAGCCCTGATGGGCAAGAATCTGCAGTAACAGGCTCTTGGGTACCTGGCACTGGTGCATCGCACCCGTATCATCAGGCTTTTGGGTGCCAGGCACTAAGGAGGCAGAAGAATGGTGTACCGTGTAGCTTTCTGTCTGGGGTGGGATGGAGCCATGGCTGGTACCACTATAAGAAGTAGCTCCAGCTCTCAAGAGCCAAGGTTGTAGGCTGGTCTGAGATGCAGGGAGAAAGCTGAAATCGGGGCTGCAGGAGGGACCCCCACAGGTTGGATGGAGGGTGCTCCTACTGTACATCCACCCTTGCTGCACACATCCTGCTATGTCCCCCTGCATGCCATACCTGGCATGTGACCCTGCCTCCTGCTTTCTACAGGACAAATGGTATCCTCTGAGATGCTACCTACTGGCCATCCATCTATCGTGGGTGCTCAGATAGCCCAAATCAAAGACTAGACAAATAGCAATCTCTCTACCCATCACTTCCCTCTCCACTCATCTGTGCCCCTCTTTAGGGTAAAATGATAGTCATTTACCTATTGAGCCCCAGGTCTAAGGGACCCTGGGATTCTGAGGTATATGGCTGCTGCCTCAACCTCACACAGCTAGACCTCAGCTTCCCTATTACAGGACCCTGTAATAGTCAGCAAGCATGAATGGCTCTGGTTTGCAGTGCCATGCCAAAAAGAGGGCCATGGGAGTGGAGCGGGACATGGTGCCAGCACTGTTGCTTCTAATTTAAATCCTCATTTCTTATTCTATTTTGAGATCCCCTCTGGATTTCAGGAATGTGGAGACATGCCTGGAGTAAAGCCTAGGGTACAGAACGGTCCCCAGGGCTATAGCAGGCAGCTGCACAGAGAATGCATTGCTGCCCCCAGCAAGCCAAGCCTTGTGCCTTTGAACAAGAAGCTCAGCATGGTGAGAGTGGCTCCCAGTGGCCTGAACTGACTGGATGAAGGCTACGGAAAGAGGCTTGGAAGCCTTTTACTGTGGGTAGGCACCCAAGGGTGGCAGCCAGCACAGCCAGAAACAGCTCATTTAACACCACAGGAGTGATGGGGCATGTCCTGTATATATGTTTCTCTTATTGGTTGATGAGTGAAACACTGTTTGGCCAATGAGGCAGGAAGATAGGCGGGACTAAGAGACAAGGAGAATTCTGAGAGAGGAAGAGAGGGTGAGGAGACGCCATGTAGAGACCGGGAAGATAGGACACACCAGGCATTCTCTGGTAAGATAAGGCCATGTAGAAATACACAGATTAGCAGTTGTGGGTTAACAATTAAGAAAGAGCTAGCCAATAAGAAGCCCTAGCCATTGGCCAACAGTTTAATAATTAATATGTCTTTGTGTGTTTATTTGGGGCTAAAGGGTGGTGGGACCTGGTGGGACAAGAAACTGCCATCAACACAGGAGCACTGATGATATAAGAGGGGTCGTCTCTTGGGGAAGATGGCTTAGAATGCAGGTACAGGAGTGAGGAAGGGCCCCCCTCCCTCCACCCAGAGAAAAGAGAAGAGGGAGAAAGGGATGGCTTCAACATGGCTGACAGTGGCGTCAAGGTTCGTGTGAGAGCCAACCAGCACCTCGTCAGTTCACCTCTCCAGCTCTGCAGGCACAGCCATGGCAGCCTGACCTTGGGCACATGTACTCCAAAGGATTTTCCACACATGTAAAGATACTTTGCATGTTTTTTCCAAAATTCCCCCATGAGGCTCTATAATGTGTTTCTGCATTCTTTCTCTCTCGTCTTAGCTGTGGAGAGGGCGTTTCAAATCCCAGATTTCAGGGTTTGTGAGTTCAACTGCCCCTCCACCCCAGGAGGGAATCATCAAAGCAAAGTGAACCCCAACAATGTGTGTGTGCATTTGCACACGTGGGAAAATCATTTTGTGTTTTCTTGGATTAAAGGGCAACAACGAAGGCCAACTAGATCTGTGGACAAAGCTTCGGGCTTCAGACAGAAAGCAAATCTCCAGTGTGAACACAAGTCACTTCACCGCCTGGTTCAGGGCAGCAACTCCCCATGCGTTTGGTCTGCCTGGTGCTGGAGAGAGCAGAGATGGGATGTGGGAAAGACTCCACCTTTCCCAGTATGACACCTCTCGGAGCAGGAAGGCAGGCTCTTGTCTAGAGCTTTGCATGGAGGGTGATGAGGAGGCTGAGAGGGGCTGGGGCTCCCTTGCTTAAAAATAAAAGAGAACACAGGTTTGCAAATCAGTGGTGAGGCCCTTTATGTACAAATGCCCACGGGTGCTATGTGGAGCATGATTCCCTGAGGACCTAGAGTTCCTTTTGTCCTTTGGAGAAGAAAAGTTCTAAGCTTTCAAAGGTCTATAAAAAGTGGCCAAGAAATCCATAAACTCCTATTCGAAACTAATTTCATTCCATTCTAAAATTAGAAGTGGGGAGTGAAGCCAATCTAAATAAATGAAACCCACACTCATTAACTCCTTGCTGAGTCTTGTTGGGGTTCACTTGCTTCCAGAGGGAATGACACACAGGATCCCCCTGGGATGGAGGTAATTAACCAGGTCCCAGGGGAGCAACAGCTGCCCCAGAATATGTCACACAGAAGGCTCAAGACTGGGCCTCAGAATGCATGCTGGGATTCTGGGAGTGAAAACTGTGGGCCAGCGATGTGCTCTGGCTGTTGAGAGAAGCACTGCGAACATGCCTGGGGCGTCCCATTTGCTGACAAATGAAGACTGTTGCATATACACTTTTATCACCTACTTTGTGGCGGTAACTTATCACAGAACTGCTATTTTTCTGTGGAGCCAGAATGCTAAGTTGGATCATCACATAGTTGGGGAGTGACTTTTAGAAGCATCTAGATAACCACAGCGCTCTGAAGGGCAGAAAGTAGCATAGACGGCAGAGCCTGGGACAACCTGTCTGAATCTGCAAACAGACCCTTAAGCCCAAGATTCAAGTGACACCCCAGCATCCTGGGCAAAGCAGTGGCCTCTTTTCTAAATGATTCAAAAGCCTCGTGTTCATTAAAGTTAAATTTGATTTCTGATACGAAGGCAGCCTGCTTCTTAGATTGAGGGAGGGAGGCTTGTTCCCTTCATTCTGGAGGAGAGGTGAATATACAAAGTATTTTTATGGGTTTGGTAGAGCTCTATGGTCTGTGCCTGGTTGTATGGGTGTCAAGCCTAGAACACACAAAAAGTTACACCTATGAGAGAATATGGGGGCTTCCTCTTTTCCCACTCACAGGATGAATTCTGTTGATAGGGTTTACCACACTGAGCCTTCCATACGTCCATATTTTAGTTTTTAACATACGGTGACAATCAATGAGCTAATACACATCTGGGATTTTCATATGTATGTATGTATGTATGTATGTATATGTATGTATATGATGAGTAATTTTTATTATTTTTTATTACCCAGTTTGCATTTTGCTCTGAACAATTAACTGGAATGTATGTCTCATTTTCCATTTACTGAAAAGATATGCATAAATTAGGGATTATTTATTCCTTGCAAAGTTTATAAAGTCCATGCTTTTGCAGGGAGAGTTATTACCATAAGCAATTCTTCCGAGGCTAGAGGCTAGCTGCCCATTTAATTCCACCTTCTGCTTCCATGGGTTTCATGGTTTGGATCCTAAATGCCTCGCATTAATGTGTCAGAGGTTTGGTGCCAGCCTGTGGCAGCATTGGGGATAAGTATCTAAAAGAAGGGGCCAGGCAGAAGGGTGAGAGGTGGCTGGGGCATGTTGCCCTTCCTTCCTGTCTCTGCCTATGCTCCCTGACTGCTCTGTGGTGACAACTGTGGTCCCTTCTTCTTGCCTCATGGAGGATGTTTCCTTGGACTGCCACTGTTTTCATTCTGCTGAAAGCAGGACTAGAATGGTGGGGAGGGATGTTTGATTGCACATGTTCAGTTAAATGTCTGACACTACCTCTGACACTACCGTCAGCCATTCTTGCCTTTGTAAATAGTAACTCAGTCTTCAGCAATAGACAGAGTAGCAACAGCTCTAGAGTGCTCTGCTGGGGCCCTGACACTAATTGCATCCTTGTTTCTCTTCTCCCCATGGCTCTTTGACATTCCTCTTCCCACAGACTCTTCTCCATCACTATATAAAATAGTCCAGGCTTAAACAGGGACCAAGCTCACACAGGCATCATTCCCAGAGAACAGGGCTGACTTGGTGCCCAATGGCTTTTCAATTCAGATTTCCTCTGACATCTACATGAGGACACCTTACTCCTATAACTGCCCTGCCCCAATCTTGGCAATAATGTCTCAGTGAAATGTCACCTGGGTACAGGCCAGGCAGGTTTTGCTCCACAAGCAGAAGGCACCCTCAGGGAATGAGAAGCTGTGAGGAGCCTGTGCCCATCACTCAGGGGACACAGGCTTTATGGATTCTTGGGGGGGAAAGCCCTGATCCTAAGGCTACAAAGCAACCTCACTAAGTGTGTCAGGTACTCAGAGTCAAGGCCACATCCCTATGTGACCCAAGTGGGTGGCTGAGCTTCTCCAGTTCCATGTCCTTAATCATCAAGGTCTGCTTTTCTGTACAGGTGTCCCAGGAAGGCAGGAGACCAAGGCCACTGTCCACAAACATGGAAATCCCAGGCCTGTAGGCCTGACTCTGTGACTGCACACTTGTGTGTGTACATGAGCACGGACACACACACACACACACACACACACACACACACACACCACACCCCTTCTCAGGTACTGTATCTGTGGAAACATGGCCCAGATTGGATCATTTCATGATTTCTCAACTTTATGACAGGCCACCTGATTTTCACTGTCTCTATAGTCCTAAATATATTACCATATCTTTAACATTTTACCACATACTAAGCCTTTTTAGGTGGTTTTTGTTCAACTGCAGGCTACATGAATGTTTTAAACATGTTTTGGGCAGGCAACACTGGGCTATGAGGGCCAGCCAGTGAGGTACAGTAGACACTTTGAACCCCGGTAGCTTTTCAACTCAGGATGGGCTGAGATGTGACCCCTCGTAAGTACAGCAGGGTCTGTATGTATAGGTAACAGGTGTGTGCATTTCACTTATGTATGCCCTTATGTGCATGTAAACAATCTATGTATATGCAATGGTCACCCACACATATGTGTTCTTATATGTTCAAGGGTTCTGTCCAAACAGGCACAGAGCCAGGCATTCCTCCATTGCACTCCAAGTCATGAGGTTTGTCAGTCCATGAAAACCATCAACTGTTCAGAACACGGTCATGCTCCAGCCGTGGGAGACTCCTGCTGCCTCCTGGACTTCATTAGCATAAGTATGACATTAGTGGGACTTCTTAGGCTGGCTTATCTCTCCAGAGACTCCAGTATGGTCCTCAAACCCTCACTGCTGACAAATGTGGCTTCCATTTAAATGACATGCCCAGTTCACTGTTAGTGACTGACAGCCAGCAGGAGACAAAAAACACTCTTCCTAGAGAAGTAATATACTCCTAAAATATTTATGGATGAGCTCCCTAAATTGCTTTATAATCTATAGATGAAAGTGCCCCTTAAACATCTGCCATAAAATGAATACCATCTAAACCCATAATCAATTTTCTTCCCATTGATTTCATCAATTGTCCCAAGTTGGCATGAGTTACAGACTCTTCCAAGCTCTTCCTGCCTCTCTGATTACTGCTGAATTCAATTATGGCCTGACTGCCAGCACTCTGCACAACTGGAGAAACTGTGCAGACAAGCATATTTGCTGACTTTTTTTTTTTTTTTAAGCAATTTGGTACCACAGCCTTCCTCAGCAAAGTGGGCATGTCTTAGTGACAAAAGCATCTAGGTCATTCTGCACACAGTCAGACAACAGGCCATGCTGTGGCTATGAGTGCTCACATCAAAGTGCCCCCTCCCCCATCAACGTACAAACCCAAACCTTAGGACTATCATGGCACCTGCCTATGCTTCACCTACAAAGGACAGAAACCACTTCAGCACTGTCAAACCACTGCATGGCACATGGCAGGCATTAAAGGACTCTGGTACTACTCTCAGGCACAGGCTGCTCACACCCAGGCCTACAAGGAGGTGTGGCTCCCTTCTGTCCAGGGCCTGACATAGGGGCTGTCACCAGAGCTACCACAGAAAGCCAACTTCTCCACACCAGCTCGCAAAAGTAATAGCCACCAACTCTTCCTCCTCCTGCAGCCACACCGATGCTGCCAGAAGCTTCTTAATTTGAGTGTATGGGCACTCAGAGTGGGTACTGGCCTCCAGCCTTCGGGAAACAGTGGAGATGGAATGCCACCAACCACTCTTGCCCACCCCTGCACCTCATGGGATAGCCAATAGATTGTATGATGGGCAGGCCACCTGGAGTCCACACTAACCACAAGAATACTAATACAACTTCTAGGAGATAAAACTCACCTGACATGCCTAGAACAGGATGTCCATGCAGTAGCCACCATGTAGAACCCAGTGTCTACTCGGTGGCCATCGGGTCATAGGGTCTACCGTGCATCTGAGTCAGGAGAGTCAGAATCTTCTCGGTGTGGAGAAAACAGCCAGACCCTAAAAATGGAGGCCATCTTGTTAATCAGTCTCCACTGATGACATAGAGGAAATCTATGAAATTAAAATCTATATGAAATTAAAATCTATTGTTAGAGTCAGTTCTATGTCCACAGAAGACAGGTAAATAAAATGTGGTGCACAGAACAATGGAATCTCCCTTGCCTGTGAGGGGTGAAAACAATTCCAAATATAATGTGTATGTCCTTCGATGACACTGTGATAAATGGAATAAACCAGCCACAAAATGTCAAAGCATATGCCACTACACTTATCTACATCACTGGAACACCCACAGGGGTTCTGGTATCTAGAATCATGGAGACACCTGGGGTGCGCTGTTCAAGGACAACCAAGGGCTAATGACAAGTGTGAGGGGGCACCACCGGGCACTATCCCATCCCTCCACTAGCCCCAGTACTGGCTCAGGTCATGAGAGGAGCTTTCTCCCATAAGCATGCAAAGAGAAGGCCGGCAAGGAAGCCTGCCCTGGAGGACCCCACAACACTGAGAGGGGGGAGAGAGGAGGAGGTAGCCATGCTAGCCTGAGTCGGGAGAGCATCCTACGGGCAGCTCCTTGGGAGAATGTGCCTAGAGCCAGAATTATTGTGAGGCCCTCACCCATCTTCCCACAGTCTATGGCATTTGCCCTACCCCTTACTACCCTACCTACCCCACAGTCTATGGAGTGCCTCCTACCTCTTACCACCTCACAGATGGAGCAATCACGACAAAGGGCATCCCTCAGCTGTCAGTCACAGCATTTGCCCTCAGGACCCAAGCTAGGTCCCACAACTATCGGAGGCCAGCAGGCCAAGCTTGTGTGCCACTTCCCTAAGTTCCCTTCCTTTTGCTCAGAGAACACCTTCCAATCTCATAGTCACTTCCAAGGCTTGCTTAAGCCCTTCAGTACAGAGCCCGGTCATGCTTCTCTTACCTTGAACGGATACCTCGGTGGTTTGAATGAGAAATGTCCCCTATGGGCTTACGAATTTGAACACTTGGTCCCCGGTTGGTGGTACTATCTGGGGTGGTTATAGAACTTTAGAGCAAAGAGCCTTGATGGAGGCAATGCCACTGTTGAGACAGACTTTGAGAACTGATGGCTTAGCTCCATGACCAGTTTGCATCTCTGCTTCCTGTGTGTGCAGCTGAGCTGTGATCTCTCAGCTTCCTGCTCCTGGTGGCCACACCTTTGCTGTCATTATGGACATCTGGCCTTCTGGAACCACGCCCAAACAAACTCCTCTTTGTTAAGTTGCCTTTTACATGATGTTTCATCATAGCAACAGAAAAGTCACTCAAACCTTCAGATGTTTGGTGTGGCACAGCAGATGGGAAGGTAGCCTTGGTGTAAGATGAGGGACTTTACATAACTTAAAAATTATACTCAAGGTTTTTTTTAAGTAACATTTGGATTTTTATGACAATGTAAGGTGTTACTGTAAAATTTTACATGGCCAGGCCCCTCCCCTCATCTCCATATCCTGGCCTGCAACTCCAGAAGAACCCCCCTGCTCTACCAGAGGCCAATTCAGTACCCAGAACCCCAGAGTCCACACGGTTAGTATTTAGGCTTTTGTACTGGCCTGTTCTTGAAGATCTGACAGGATACACCCTCAGCTGCAGCCACTAAGAGCACCACTCATACCTATTCACTATGTTTCCTTTTAAAAGGACCCAGCCCACCTCCCATCCTTCACTTTCTCTCCTACTATCTGTTCCTTTCTCTTCTCTCTCTCTCTTCCCCCACCCCACCCCCACTCCCTCCTCTCTTTCCTCTCTCCCACTGCTCCTGTCCCCAGAGGTCAGGCTCCCCCTTCCATTTCCCTTTTCACAATCATTTTCCCTTAATAAAAATCCTGTGCCTGAACTCTGTCACATGGTGTCTTTCTCTCTTGAGCTACTTTCTTTTTTATTACAACTCTCACCAGTTACCAGAACCCCAGAACTCCAGAGGCAATGCTGGTACCCAAAACCCCAGAGGTCACACAGGCCACCAGAGCCCCAATGAAGGCACCCTACTTGACCTGAGGACTCCTGGCTGGTTACCAGAACCACAGGCCACTCAGGCCAGAAAACCAGAAAGGAAACAGAAACCAAGGGAAACAGAAACACACTTCCAACAAAGATAAACTCAGAAATCAACACCTAAACCTATAATTTCCCCAAACCCAGATGCCTAGAGGCCAGTATAAGAACACAAACACCACCAGCCAGGGCAATATGTCACCACCAGAGCCCAGCTATCCTACTATAGCAAACCCTGAATATTCCAACACAGTAAAACACAAGAAAATGACCTTAAAACCAACGTTATGAAGATGATAGAGGTCCTTATAGAGGAAATTAATAAATTTCTTAAATTAATCTAATAAAACATAAACAAGTGAATGAATAAATCCCTTAATGAAATCAAGGAAAACACAAAAAATGGGATGACATAAATGAATCCCTTAAAGAAAGCTAAGAAAAAATAAGCAGGTAAAGGAAATAAGTAAAACTGTTCAAGATCTGAAAATGGAAATAGAAACAAAAGAGAAAACACATGAAGATGGAAAACCTAGGTAAGCAAACAGGAACTACAGATGCAAGCATCAATAACAGAATACAAGAGACAGAATAGAGACAGAATGGACTCTCAATGCACAGAAGGTATGCTAGAAGAAATTAATACATTGGTCAAAGAAAATGTTAAATCTAAAAATTCCTAACACAAAATATCCATGAAATCAGTGATATTATGAAAAGACCAAACCTAAGAACAAGAGGAATAGAAGGAGAAGAATCTCACCTCAATATTTGTTAAATATATTTAACAAAATCATAGAAGAAAATTTTTCCATTTCCTAGGACATGCCTATAAAGGTACAATAAGCTTACAGAACACCAAATAGACTGGAAAGACAGAAAAGAAAGTCTCTCTGCCACATAATGATCAAAAAATACAGAACAAAGAAATAATATTAAAAGCTACAAGGGGAAAAGAACAAGTGACATATGAAGGCAGACCTATTAGAATTACACTCTACTTCTCAAGAGAGACGCTAAAAGCCACAAGGGCCTGTGGTCTCTTAAAGTCTGCAAGATGCCAGCCCAGACTACTATACCCAGCAAAACTTTCTATCACCATGGATGGAGAAAACAAGATATTCCATGACAAAGCCAAATTTAAACACCATCTACCATACACAAATCCAGCCCTATACAGGTACTAGGAAAAAAAAAAAAAACACTCCATCCCAAAGATGCTAAATACACCTGTGAAAACAGGAAATAATCTCACACCAACAAAACCAAAAGAGAAACACATACACTCACTACCACCACCAACAACAACAAAATAACATGAATTAGCAATCATTGGTCATTAGGCTCTCTCAATATCAGTGAATTTTATTCCCCAATAAAAAAAACACAAAGTAACAGAATGGATGCAAAAAAATGGGATCCATCCTTCTGCTACATACAAGAAACATGCCTTAACATCAAAGATAGACATTACCTCAGAGTACAGGGTTGGAAACATTTTTTCAGGCAAATGGACCTAAGAAGCAAGCTGGTGTAGCCATTCTAATAGCTAACAAAATAGACTTCCAGCCAAAATTAATCAAAAGAGATGGGGAAAGACACTTCATACTCAAAGGAAAAATCCTAGATGGCATATCAATCCTGAGTATCTATGCCCCAAACACAAGGACTCCCACATTTGTAAAAGATATACTGGTACAGCTTAAATCATATTTGACCCTCACACATTGATAGTGAGAGACTTCAAAATTCTCACCAATAGACAGGTCATCCAGACAAAAGCTGAACCACAAACACTATAGCCAACATAACTCAAATGGACCTAACAGATATCTACAGAACTTTTCACCCAAACAAAATACACTTTCTCAGCACCTCATGGAACCTTCTCCAAAACTGACCATGTACTTGGTGACAGATACAAGAAAACTGAAATGACCCCTGTATCCTTTCAGACCACTATATATTAAATCTGGATTTCAACAATAATAGAAACAACACAAAGTCTACAAATTCATGGAAACTGAACAACTCTCTATGCAATGACTACTGGCTGGGTCAAGGCAGATGTAAAGAAATTACAGACTTCCAGAATTCAATGGAAATAAATACACAACATACCCAAACTTAGGGGGCACAAGGAAAGCAGTGCTGAGAAAAGTTCATAGCACTAGGTGCCTGCATAAAGAATTTGGAGCAATCTTACACTACCAGCTTAACAGCACACCTGAATGCTCTAGAACAAAAAGAAGCCAACACACCCAAGAGTAGATGGCAGGAAATAAACTGCGGGCTGAAATCAAAACATAAACAAAGAGAGCGATATAAAAAAAATCAATGAAACAAAAAGATGGTTCTTTGAGAAAACCAACAATATAGACAAACCCTTATCCAAACTAAAACACAGAAGAAAATGAACAAGTTAGCAAGATCAGAACAAAAGGGGGGATATAACAATAGACACTGAGAAAATCCAAAGAATCATTTGATCATACTTCAGAAATCTGTACTCCACAAAATTGGAAAATCTAAAAGAAATGGACAATTTTCTTGATAGATACCACTTATCTTAACAAGATGAGATAAACAATTGAAATAGATCTATAACTCCTAAGGAAATAGAAGCAGTCACTAAAAGTTTCCCAACCAAAAAAAGCCCATGACCAGATGGTTTTAGTGCAGAATTCTACCAGCTATCCAAAGAAAAGCAAATGCCAATACTCCTCAAATTATTCCACAAAACAGAAACAGGAGGAAGACTACAAAATTCATTTTATGAGATCATAGTCACCCTCATACCCAAACCACAGAGAATCAACAAGAAAATTACAGACCAATTTCCCTCATGAACATTGATGCAAAAATACTCAGTAAAATACTGGCAAACTGAATCTAAGAACACATCAGAAAGATCATCCATCATAACCAAGTAGGCTTCATCCCAGAGATGCAGAAATGGTTCAACACAC